TTATTATTTTTTTTTTTTACAGGCAGAGGCAATTCCTGATAAGTGGAACTTCGGATAATTCGAAACGATTTGCTCGGTCCCAACAAGTTCGAGCATATGAGTTTTTATTGTATATGCATTTATCTACTTAATGTCATTTTTTAAATGTTAAATACAACGTATGCGTAGCTTTTTCCCGGGTCAGTCCCAAGAAGGTAATATCCATCATACCTAGAGCCGTGAGTGGCATGAAGTAGAATGGAGGGATTTTACGACGGATTTTTCACAGCAAACATTGCCTTCTATGAATAAGTTAGAAGATATTCGTGACTCCCAGGCCAAAAAAAGCAGAATGGATACTGGAACATGCATTGAGCATTGACCCCATTGACGTAAGGCGAACTGCTCTACGACAGTGAGCTCCATCTTTGACGCCATCTTCCTCTCGACCGGGGACGAATTACCGAAAGACAGAGAGCTCTTAAGAGTTTCCTTGGAAACGTCTTGAGAGCTGACAACCATTGAGAATGTTTTGAAGCGGCAGGCGGAGCGTGTTCCTTGTCTGCATGCTCTTCCGGAAGGAAAGTCGACCGCTCAGAACCACGCGCAGGATGTCAAAAGCGAGTAAACCTTGAGGGTCTTCCGCAGCGCAAGCCATCCCAAATTTCTAATTTTAATTCAAGTTAAACTGACTCCTTCTTCCAATGGTCGCAAACTCTCCATGTTTGGCATCCAGTCCAGTGAGACGAGACGGAGAGACTTCAACTTGAAGACGTTTCTTTTTGGGAATATCTTCAGTAAGTTCATCGAGACCCTCAGCATAATACGATCGAGAGAAAGGACGAAAAATGAGCATATAGGGAATGACATATCTTGAGTGTCTCATCCTACGGCATAGGACAATGACATGGCAGGTGTCATAAAAAAAATTCACGGGTTAAAAGTCGGCAGAAAGCAGCCATGAAGATAGAGTCGGATCATGCTCTGATATAAAAAAAAAATTCCTGAGATCACTTCATGACTATGCTGACGTTTCGCGTTCAATTGTGCGTGCGTACAACCTCACTGGTTGGCCCAGATAGCATTCTCGAGATTCCGATAGCTGCCGCTACAATTTGAAGTGGGCAGTGCTCGAAATGGGATTTTTTAATTGGGGGGATGGCTGGAAATAGGTCCTTCCTCACAATGACCCAGGATCGGACCGGCAGCCTAGGGGCCCTCCGGGAAATATTTTAGAACAAAAATGAGAGGCCCTAAAACTAGGTAAATTTTATAACTTCATCATAATCATTATCAATTTTTATAGCTATATGCAATTTGGCAGTGCTCATGGAATCAACATCAGTATATGGTCATTAGTTGCAATTAATGTTCACTATAATCCCATTTATAAATTTTTTACTAGGCCTGCCACCCCCGGAAATTTCCTGATATCCCAGGGGGCCTCTCATTTTTGTTCTAAAATATTTCCCGGAGGGCCCCTAGGCTGCCGGTCCACCCCTCCATTCCCCCCCCCCCCCCCACATACATAAAATATATAACTCTGGAAAAGAAATGATTTTATTAGAACGATCCAATTATGCAAATTAGGTCGCGTGGTCCATGATGGCCGACACACAAATGACACCTATTAATACTATGTAAATTCCAAAATTCTCAAAAACTATTATTGATGTCCACACCAAATTTAGAAGGGGCATTTCTACAACGTCAAGCAATGTTTCAACCCAGCGATTTTTTGATCGGGTGAAAAATGAAAGATTCAATAATGATTACAAATGAGTTTCATTCATCGGAAAGGCGAAAATGATTCATTCGACTGGAACATATACTTGTATCTATATGAAGTTCGATTTTTTTTTTTGGCTCAAAGCCAAGTATCGAATGTTCTTTACATTCTGTGAAAATTTCAAGTTGATATCCTCTCTAGTTACTGAGCAAGATGGATTTTAGTTCTGGTAGGAACCCGAAATTTAAAATATGAGAAAATTGTATTAAAAAGTTCGTTGTCCTTTCAAAGGGAATCGCCATGTAAGAGAGCACAAATAGCGTTACAAACAGTGTTAAAAAAAAAACCACCAGGGATGCATTCTTCAATCGAAAAATGCTGAAAACAGAATATTGATATTTTTCACATTTTTGACAATTATATCCAACCTTAAAAGTGTAAAGTGATATTCAAGCGTAAAGATATGATAAAGCGAAGTTAAACAGCTTCAGAGATTTAATTTTGGGGATGGCTCAAGTCGAAATTCAGTCTTGCTGGGATGCCATCCAGCCGCATCCCACCCCATTGGTTTCCCCGATATCAGAGGCACCGCCGCAGAGTGCCCAGTCTTTTTAGTATAAGGAAGGGGTCAGGAACCTTTTTGGCCATGTGAGTCATATTGAGATTGAGGTAAGTGCTTGGGAGCGAAAGATTTTCAGAACATAATTTTTTTCTGAGTTGTTGGCAACTCAGGAAAAGTTGGCAATAGACATATGCATTCTTTGATAAATGAGAAAGGTGAGGAACAACCACGATTTCCAGTCATGACTCAATGTGCAAAACTTTTCGGTTCGTGAGCCAAATTCACTCATGAGCCATAGGTTCCCGAACCCTTGTTATGTCTATAAGGTATTCACCCAGTTTAAAATCCCGGCTGGAAACAGCTATAATTTCCAGCTGGACTCCAGCTGGAAATTCGGACCCATTCCAACTGGGTAACAGCTGGAAAGGAGTCATCTGCAAATTTCTTCCTAGTTGCTATATCACTAGCTGAATGAGAATCTTTTTGTTGACTATTTTTGTCAGATGTCCGTCTACAGGAACAGCTGATTTTCAACTATAAATTTAGCTACATTCCAGCTGTAGGGTCCTCTTGATAAAATTCCAACTGGAAAATTTCCAGCTGGAAGCAGCTATTCAAATCAGCTGCATTCCAGTTGAAAAATTCCAGCTAAGAAACAACTGGTACCTTCTATTTTCCAGCTCTTTTCCAGCTGGAATGGTCCGAATTTACAGATTTGGTCCAGCTGGAATATTCCAGCTGGGATTTTAAACTGGGCAGACACGGAAATTTCTCTAACGATCTCCTCTTACTTTGTCGGACGAACTGGAAAAGGGAAATGTAGAGCTGATTAGCATGTAAAATTGATTAATTATCATGGACAACGGCCCCCCACAAAGATAATGAAACCAGATCAGGCAATAAAGAGAAGGCCAGCAGCGCGTAGCCACGCATGCAACTCAACAGGAAAGTGTTGAAAACCAAGATGGCGCCGTACATCTGAATGCATGGCTCACGAGAGCCGCTTCCTTTCACTTCGAGTCAGGTTCTTCCTGTATCACTTGAATGTCCTGCTTTTTTCTCCTTGGATTCACAGTTGCAAAGTTCCCAAGAGGAAAGACTGACCCGTGAGCGGGCTTTCTTTATTTTGGAGTAAGGAGAACTCCTTCGCGAAAGTTTCCAAGGTGTCACCGGACTCTTGGGTTAGAGGTTGTCGAATTTACCGTCGCACAAACTGTTCCAGGCTTTCTCCTAATCCTAAGCCAATGCGTAGCCACGAGACATAATGCTGGGTTTTTAAGTTGAAGTTGATCATGGATAAAATTAATTCTTTCATTAACTTGAGTGGCATGAAGTAAAGGGAGAAGCTTAATGGTATATGAGGATTGATAGATTTTGGTTTGAGTTCTTGAACATAGGTTCAGTCAATGAATTAAAACCAGATTCAGTGTAATTTTAATTTGAAGGAATATCCCTTGAACCTTCTAATTAGGTAGGGATGAGGGATTGCCTGTGATTGACCTAGATTCTAACATGAAGGCTTCCCTGGAAATATGCCTACCTCTACAAATTTCCTTTGGATATGGTTTTCCAGGAGCTTTTTATGTATTGTAGCCAGACTGTTGAGAAAATAACTAACATCCATGGTCCTCACTGTTGTTGACTCAAGTCTTCTGACCAGAAGGTCCCCCAACCAGTACATTAGGCATTAAGGCTGTGCAGTCATGGTTTTAAAGAGATCATTATCACCAACTAAATCAATTAATATAATGAAATTAGCATTCCCCCAAGTGGGAATAAAAAATATGAAGGAAAGAAACCCTAGGGTGCTGATGGAAATCACTTACTGCTACTTCTTGATTCTTTAAAGAGCAACATCACCAATGAGATTTGGTTGGCAGTAACTGGTTATAAAGTGGTGTTTATGGTGCTCAATTGTATTTGCCAATGGAATGACAGATCTGTGCTTGGGCTGGTACTCTAGTTTTTGCTTGTGACTATGTGACCTTGAGACAGTTTTTGTCTTAAAGGTCTTTGCTTTACAGGAAAAAGGTCAGGAGACAATGTGTATTGGTTAGGGGGAACTGCAAGGTGATACCATCAAAGTATGGTGACATAATCCTATCAGTAGTGTTTTTCAGATTGATTACTTTTGTTCATTGGTGCTGTTGCCATTGGTGCCTAAAAGACATCTAATAATCACACTTGTCATTAATGATGGAAGGGTATACTGATGAGACTAGCTCTTGGGGTAACTCAATGGTAGGACCCATGGGAAAATGTGATGATTCCAAGAACTGGAATAATATTTAATTAGAAAATATTGTATTCCCCCCCTCTTTTGTATAAGCCTCACATCATGGAGTTAATTACTCTGGGGATATCAAATGGCAGTACAAATTTTCTGCTTGTATTTTTCATTATCTCTTACATCGGTCTAATAATATGGGAGAATGTTCATTAAGTGTCCCTTCCATGGGTAGCTTCTCCTGCAAGCTACCATATGAATATACAGTTGCAAAGTGGCAATAGGCTAAAGAAAAAAAAAAAAGGCAATTGTGGTATTGCCAATTGGGAAAACATCAAACATCATCATAGTATTGCAATTTGTGACAGGTCTGATTGGTCTAGGGTAAATTGACTTTTGGCATGCATCTTTTTAAATGATATATTTCTGTTTTTTGAGATATATGGCTACCCAATATGGTCTTGGATTGCATTTAAGGCCTATGCAACCCATCTCTGAAGCTGAACATTTCCTCCTGTTTCTATAGGTTGCATGTTGGGCAATGAGAAGCAATGAGTGATTTTGTTTGGGCCCTAAAGAATGGCGACCTAGAACAGGTCAAAGAGCATGTGGAAAAGGTAAGTCATGCCTGACAGTCTAGCAGTTTCTAATGATTCCTGTCTGATTAATTGGATGAATGTATAAAAGAATTCCCAAAGAAACATGTCTGAAAGCATCTACAGTGCTTGTTGAATGAATTTACCCCCCTCTTACTATGGGCTCCTATGACTTGCCATGCTTTTTTCTATTATGCATCTGTGGATACTGTAATTGCTAATACCAACTAATCAAGGTAAATGTTGGCCATGTTGCTATGTCCTGCATTCTCAGCAGTTGGAGAAAGTATATTCATATATTCTGAGTTTCCCATTTAAATCTCACTTAGTCTTCCCATGGAATAACTATTATTAATTTATGAAAGACTCTTTTAGGGGGATGATGACATGCCCTAACTTCTTTCTCTCATTCATTTCGATCTTAAGAATCACATCAGTGATACCCATTGACTTATGAAAGGTTTCACAATCATTATTTAGACTGGGGGGGGGGAGGGGAAATACAACTGTGCTCTTGGTACTGTGTCCAATGAAAAGCATTTAGACTTTCTCCTCATCTACATTCTATCCTCTTCAAATTTCTTGCATTTCTACATTTTATTAATTGACATATGCATTGACTGGATTCTTGTCCATTTCTTCTTCTTTGTTGAAAAGTACATCGAACATAGAGGTTTGAGGTTTTTCTAGAAGGGAAAGGGAAAGCAAAGCTTCAGTGAAAACCAAGGCTTTTTTTAATTAACCCTTTCAGGGCTGAGTTACGAAATATGTGTGAAAGAAATGCATATCGAAATCATTGGGTAGTTATGATTCATACAATGAAATACTAAAAGAATTTCACAAATTTATTTATTCATTTAAAAAATACAGACATGATGCCATATGACATCATATGCTTAGAAGGGGTTAAGGGATAAGGGTTCAGAAAGTTAACAATTCCTACTCAACTTTGGATTTCCTGGAATATTGAGAGTTAGGAATTTTTTCCTTGTGTGTCTTTTCATGGATTATAAAATTGTGAGGTCAAAATAAAAATGCATCCAATTGATATATGACTCATTTCATGATTGCATCAATGGCAAGGTGACAATATTGTTTTTACTTTGGTGCTCTTACATTCCTCAAAGTTCACTTCACTCGAACTTTGTTCTAAGAATGTTGGTTCTTGCACATTCTGATTAGCTGTATTATGTCAAGTTTGCAAAGCTCCTTCAAGGTTTCATTCTGGTCTATGGTGGTAGTGGTAACTGGCTGGGATCACAAATGTGGATAGTTAAACTGTTTATGGGATGAAAAACAGTTTTCACTCTCTTCTCACACCCAGTAGCACCACTGCCTACTGCAGGGAGGTATGGGTGAATTCATTCGATAAGCACTGTATACAGACATTTTGAAGGTCATTAAAATTCCAAGGAAATGCAATTAAGAAAGAAAATAGTTAAGAATAAGTGTTTTTCATTAATTGACTTCTCCTAAAGTCTTGTTCCCTAACAATTTTCATTTTCTAGTTGGTTGTATAATTAGAATATTTTGAATAATTTGAAACCACTTTGGCCCTAATAGATAAATGTATCAGATCAGATTTGATGCCAATGTTAATGTTAATGTTAATGTCTTTATTCATTCATTAGGAAGCACTGTTTAAAGTTTTGGTCAACTTGTAAAGATACAGATTTTGTTGGATGTTTTTATTTATTTAGGATAATGAGTGCTGATAAGACATTATGGTGGATATAATAATTATCTCTAATTTTAACTTGATGGATCATTTTCTTTCAGGGTGTAAATGTGAATGAAAATATTGATGGAAGATTGCCATTGCATTATGCTGCTGATTATGGCCAGAAGGAGGTTTTGGAGTACTTGATCAACAAAGGCTCCAATGTTGATGTGGGTGGCCATTATCTTCTTTTAATTCTGATGGCACCTAGGTATTCCTAGGTCCTAGGTCTAGTTCTAGGTGCTTTACTCATGTGATTTTTTGTTGACAGGCCAAGGACAAGCATGGGATTAGTGCCCTACTGGCTGCCATCTGGGAAGGTCATACAGATTGTGTGAAGCTTCTTCTCCAACATGTTAGTGTTTGTATCATCTTATTATTTAGTTTTGACACATTTCCTGATTCCAACCACTTTGTTCCACTTTCATGGAAAAGGAAGCATGAAAAACTCTTCATTGCAAACCTTCTATTATTATCACTCTACAAAAGTAAAGAAACAAGACATTATGGTGTAGGTCTTGTTTCCTTGCTTTGGAAAATTGCCTGTTAAGGCACAGTTCATCAGCAGAAAGATTCACTCCTGATATTTATGGATAACTTTACATAAGGTATAAAATAGTGATGGTTCTTATGGCACATTCACAATGATTGCTCAATATAACATGTCAAGTCCAACTAGTAAATTTACAATGCCCACATACTCAACTCGGCAATCTGGACCCTACTCTATTCTCCGAAGTGCAGCTAATTATGTTGCCAGGTATCTGATGATCTGCTTTTGCAGTATGGGCCATTAAAAAGTAAACATTGATTTCCTCTTGAGTATATTGATAGTGATCAACATGGAGGTCAAATTCATTATCATGGTCATGAAAGCTCACATTTCATTGTCAACAGAAAAATTAGTCAATTTGTTGCCTATGGTTGTCCACCTGACCCTGCAAATGTGGAAGTCATTTCAAAATTTTTAAAATGAAAAATTCATTGACACTGTTTCCCAGTCCATGGAGCTGTTTGAGGTCCTAGTTCCTGTGAAATCAATGGATTCTTTTTTTGTTTTCTACAGTTTTCCCCAAACTTTTTGTTGAATACTATAGAGTATAATTTACCAGATTAAGATATAGAATAAACAGGGGCCGAATGTTCTTTTCAATGATAAATCTGGTGATTTTATGTTGAGGAATTGTAGATTTGCTGCAGATATATGAGAGAGTACACTATCATGTTGATGAAGTTATTATTCTCTTATGCAGTGGTTCCAATTTCAATTCTGATTCATGCAATGAAGTCATTTCAATTGCATTTACATGACACTAAGTAATGATTCTCTTTGAGTGTAATGACTTTCATCATGAAAGTGCGTAATATCTCAGATAAGCAGCTACTGTGCATTTTCTCAACAAGCAGACACCAGATCTCATTGAGCCAAACATTTGATCCCTGCATTGTCAGGTCCTCAACATGGTAGATTATGCTGTCTGGGAGAATTGCAAAGAGTCTATCTGCATTACAGGATCAGGAGTCTCAGACATCTCAAGGCCAACACATGCCACAAATGAGGAAACATCTCTGTACAGTTTTATCTGAGAGCAATTTGGCAAAGACACCTGTATTTGCATAGTGGGATGCATCCTTCATGGATGGGACAATAGGCAACTCATTTTGTTGAAATGGTCATGAAATTAGGTCTCTGTATTCATTATGATTATTTTTCACTGCATGATTGTGAATAGCTTGTGAATCTGAAAAGATTTCCATTGAACAGGCCATTTGAGGGATACCTGATCTAGTGAAATGGAAGGCATTATTTCAGCAACCAAGCAGGAGAAAATAAATATATTAGGAGAAGGTAGGGAAATTCTAGTCCCCTTTGGTAAAATCCTGGCCATGGCAATGGTAGTGCAGGATTCTCAGCTAGAGGATTCTGCCAATCTCATTTGCAACTCCCAAGTAGACTTCAATCCTCCCTCCAGCTTGCGGCTTGGATCAGTTTGTATTTTATATCAGGATTATTATTTTTATCAGTTCTAGAATATTTCAATTAGCATCTGAATTGTTATGATTTTCTTCATTGTAAAACTTTTAAATAGTTTTCTTTTCTCAGCACAACTTGGTTAGAAGTCAAGCTGCCCAAACCAGCTGCTGAGGACTGTTTAAACTTATGCACCAGAAACAAATATAGCATTGTGTTCTGAGGCCATACCCTTGATTTTCATTATTTTTTGCTTTTGTTGTCTAGCTGCAGGTCTAATTGACTTATGTTTACATTCTGCAGGGGGCAAACAAATCCGGCAGTACTCCGGATGGTATCAGCTACTTGGAGGCTGCTGAGAAGGAAGACATTAGAGCCCTCCTCATATGAGATCTTCCCTATTTAACATTTTGATCCGCTTCTTTGTTGCTGCAATTGGTGATTTTTTGAGAGCATATTGAATCTTGTTTCTTGGATTCATAAATATTTCATACTATTCCTAACCCTGTGACATTCAGAACAAAGTGGTTGTACTGTCTTTTTAAATGGATTTCTTTCTTCTGTNAGCATATTGAATCTTGTTTCTTGGATTCATAAATATTTCATACTATTCCTAACCCTGTGACATTCAGAACAAAGTGGTTGTACTGTCTTTTTAAATGGATTTCTTTCTTCTGTGGATTGAGACTTCTTTGGAATGACTTTTTTCTGCTCTCTTTATTTGAGACCTTCCAGTGGCTTTCAGAGCACATAGAGCACATCTACTGTGATGAAAGTTGACCTGAACAAGTATGGGAACAGTATAGATGAAGGGATGATGGGGTTGAACCAAACTTCTCCACTTCATTTCAGGATACCTGGAGCAGATTGCCACTGATTGCAGGACCCTGCTTTGGCAATTATTTTTCAAAAGTTCTTTAAAAGAATGGGAACGATGTTTCCAATTCCTTTCACCATTGCATCAATCCAGGATGCATATAGAATGAGGAAGGACTGGATTGATTTTTAAGATCAATGCTAGTCAAAAGAATGTAAAACAAGTGGGGAATAATTTGACAATCCCAGTGTAGTTAGGCCTTTTGATAGAAAGTCTCAGAATGGCTTTCTTTTACTTATCTGAAGTAAACTATTGCATTGTGAACCTGGACCCCCTATTCATAGGGCAATTATAAAGGGGAGGGGTTTGGAGTGTAGTGCAGGACCAGGAGATGCAATTCACTTTCTCCCCATCTCAATGTAACAGTTCTTATGCTCCCTTAAAATTTTGCTCTGAACAGGTTTTGTCCTAGCATTGTAATTTCATTGAAAGATGACACTGTTCTTCCACCCCTAATGGCAGCATTGCAAACTACATCATGTTTTGCTGTGAAATTGAATGAATTGGTAAAAAAAAAATAGGTTTGACATAGTGGTAATGATACTTCAATTCATTGAAAGATGACACTGTTCTTCCACCCCTAATGGCAGCATTGCAAACTACATCATGTTTTGCTGTGAAATTGAATGAATTGGTAAAAAAAAAATAGGTTTGACATAGTGGTAATGATACTTCAATCTTTTTTCAACTTGCCTTTAATATATTCACAGCTGTTTACAGGGTGGGTCAAAAAACTGGACAGTTTTCAACGAAATGCTATACTGCAATCAATGCATATATTTTAATGCAGTTTGCATCATTTGAAAGAGGAATGACTAAGCTTTAACATGATGTACTTGCATTTCAAATATCAACAGTTACAGAAATTCTGGAGCTCATATGAACTACTAATAAAAACTGCATTGTTTTTGTAGCAGTGGAGATGGACAGGTGACAGCTGAAGGTCACATGTCTGCATCTGAGTGCATGGCGATGCAGTCTGTTTCTTGTTCATATGAGCTCTCAAATTTCTAAAACTGTTGAATATATTTGAAATATAAGTAAACCATTTTAAAGATACGAGAAGATTCGACAGATTCGAGAAGCCCATACTTGTTTACATGCCAAGTTTCAGCTTCTTCTGTCTAGTGGTTTCTTTTGTACATGGCCATTCATTGGTAAACTTTTCAAATGGGTCACCCTGTATATGCAGTGAGTGAAGTGTAGGGAATTGTAGAAAATTGTCCTCTTTTTGGCCCACCCTGTATTTATTTCTAGCTGCTTCATTTGTAGAGTTCTATGATATGTATGGTTTCATAGTGGAAAGTGCAATTAAACTCCTTTCAAGTATGGAATGTAAAGATTTTCAGTTTTACAGGAGTCCCATGTCTAATCTGACGTTAAGTCGACCTTGACTTCACGATTCTATGTGATATCTACAACCCCAAAAAGGGAATTCAGTTATATTCTTAAACCTTTCAGACCTGAATTAAGGCCACTATCTGAATAATATATATTTTCGCATTTTTGAGCTCTTTTCCTGTTCTACTTTAAATTGTTAAGTTCTATATATCGTTTTTATATTTAATATAAATGTACCATATGTATTATAAATGTAATTACATAACCCAAAATTACAAAACTGACGGGTGAGAGAAGGCCTTCAACGGAATTGAGTCCATTGTAGTGTAATATGGGGCGGAAAGTCACGAGAATCCCAAGATATTATCATAGAAACAATGAAAATGTTACTTTCATTTGAATGGATGCAGGGTCTGAAAGGGTTAAACAACACAGGTGCTCATGCATTCAGAATGCCCATTGCATGGGTGGTCTCTGAATTGGGTAGAAAATGTCTCAAGTAAAAAACTAGAATGGAGACAACATTCTTT